TAGACATGAGCAACGACGATAATGTTTGTTCATGCGTTCATGCATGCAGTTGCAGAACCATTTGTGCATGTTGACCTTTATCTTTATACATAGTTTCGCTTACATTGCATACTCATTTCACCGAACATATATACATATATATATATATATATATACACCGGTGTACGGCTAGATCGGTATAAACATATACGTACATACACACTCCTGCACGTATACAAATGTGTACATGGGTATGTGCATGTATTGGTATTTGCACACCCATACTTCTACATTGATGTTAACACATGCGTATGCAGGCATGTATACATACACAGCCATCGTTATATATAACCGTATGAATATATGGATATGTATATGAACGTATTTGCCGACCAGTGTACACAACCATATATGGCAGCAAATACATAGAGGTACATCGGTCGATATACATACACATGCATATTTACATATATATATATATATATAAAATATATATATGTCGGTAGATGCGGAGGCAAACGCGGAGAAAGAGGACGAGGACCACCAGAAGGAGGAACACGACGACGAAGACAACAAGACAATGGAATGCTGACGAGGAGGACGACGCGGGGGGGGGTGGGGGTAGGATGAGGTGGAGAAGGAAGGGGAGGGGCAGGAGGATGAGGAGGAAAACGAGGAGGAGGAAGAAAACGAGGAGGGGATGATGACGATGGGGAGGACGAAGGGGGGGAAGGATGTGGAGGAGGGGGAGGGGCAGGAGGAGAAGGAGGAGGAGGAGGAAGAGGATCAAAGCGCTAAGGTTTACAAGCGGGCGGGTCGGGATTTGACATTCCTTCGAGATCATCGAGAGGGCTGGCTGAAAGGAAACCGACATATTCTTGAGAGGGGGGGGAGAGGGGAAGGAGGGAGGAGGAGGAGGAGGAGGAAGAGGAAGAGGAACGTGCCGTCCGCATATCTGGACGTGATTGGAAGGCGGCACGAGCGCGCATGGCCCAGAGTGGGCACACATCTGGAAGCAGAGGAAATCATGAAGAGCAATCTCGATGGCGGCGATTCTTTGCACGCGCGGTGCGACAGCCACTCGACACCGACCACGGGACGCACGCGGGCACCACAGAGCACCGAGCGTAAGGCACCACACAGAACCCGACCAGAGGGCACCGACCCGGGCAGGCCGGCTGCGACCCCACGGACAGGGCACCAGCGAGGGGGCCAACCATCTGGGCACCTAGCGCACCTGGGCACCAGCGGCGGGGTGCCGACCAGAAGCGGCCGACTGCGACACAGAGGGCCAGTTCCTTGGAGGCCAGAAGATATATGAACCCCTACATCCATACAGTCACTGCTTGGGAGACAGACCGAGCTGGAAGGGGAACGTGACGTGGACCTCGAGACGCGGCATCAGGAAAGACAAGCACAGGGAGCAACCGTGAGGAGCAACGGCCCTCCTTCGCCCTGGCAATGTCCACCGACGTACGCCACAGGAAATCCTGGCAGGTTGGACAGCGGCGGCAGCGAATCTCCCTCGCCTCCTCCTCCTTTTCCTCCTCCTCTTCCTCCTCCTCCTCCTCCTCTTCCTCCTCCTGCCCCTCCTCCTCCTGCCCCTCCCCCTCCCCCCCTCCCCCTCCTCCCCCTCCCGCCTCTCCTCCTCCTCCCCCCCGCCTCCTCCTTTTACGCCTGCTCCTCCTGTCGTCCTCCTTTTCCCCCTCCTGCCGTCCTCCTCCTCTTCCTCCTCCTCCTCCTCCTCCTCCCCTTCGGGTGCGGCGAAGAAGGGGGGGGGGATCATGAAGAAGCGGCGAAGAAGGGGGGGGGTCATGAAGAAGCGGCGAACAAGGGAGGGGGGTCATGAAGACGCGGCGAAGAAACGGGGGGGTCATGAAGAGGGGGCCTTGCGCAGCGTGGCCCGAGGCGCGTGCGCGGACAAGGGGCGGGCGGGCATGGAACCAGACCCGGGGGCCAGATCATCTGAGAGACCCCGTGGCCCTGGCAATGATACACACACGCACCCGGTCCTCACGCCCTCACCGACGCCCGGTAGCCTCGGCCCATGGCGACTGAGCCTCCCGCGCGCGCTGGTCGGCATACCCCCCAGCAGGGACAGGTGGCGGGACACAATCTTCAGGATGCTCGAACAATCCAATGGGGAAGACCAACCAATCGGGATCCGTCGGGGCAAATGCGGCAGCGCTCTCGGCGAGGTCCGATTCCACGATCTCTGACCGAAGACCGCCAACGGAGAGGCAGCACCAAGGCCTATGAAACGCGCTGTCGTCGCCGCCGCAGAGCGGGTAGGAAATGTCCTCCAGAAGGTATCCGGTCCCTTGAGCACGCGGGCCTGTCCAGCAGACGGTGCGGGCAGAGGCTCGAACGCAACCCTTCTAGAAAGCATCCCATATTTTTTGTCAATTGGGTTTCTGGATGAAAGTGCCCACGCAAACCCGAAAGCCTTCTGGAAGCCCGTGGAATCCCCCAGACCGCCTCTGAAGTTGCCTGGGCACTCTTCCCCGAGAAACATCTTCAGGAGACGAGGGCTGGCGATGGTGACGCCTATTTCCAAGCACCGGTTATTCCCGCGCGCGGCAAAGTCTGGCATGCGCCAGCCCATGCGATGCAGAGACGCGCGGGCAGCAGGAAGAGGACCATAGACTTTCCGCCATGGAGGGACTTCGCCTGCAAATGCTGCCTCCCGAACCTTGCGGAGCGTGCTGAAGCGGACGGCGAAGGGGTGCTGCTTGGCCTGATTCAGCCACAGCTCCTTGGCATGCCTTTAAAATGTCGCAACGCTGGCGCAGTAGCGCGGGTCATGTTCCAGGATAGTTGGAGACGCGAGGCCGCTGGAACCAGCTGTTGGTTTGACGCACTTGCTGAACGCACGCCTTAAGGCCTGAAGCTCCCCGTCGGACGCCCCGCGGACGTCGGGCCCGAGATTGGCTCCACAAAGCGGACCTGAGATGAAGATATTCCTGGCATGGTAGCCCGAGGCCTTCTTGGCCTTCGCGAACCTCCGGACGCGAGCTTTCAGGGCCCCCATCCTCTGAAAGTGCGCATTACTCATGTCTCCTGTGCGACGGGCCTTGCCAGTCGCGTCGCCCCCGCCGAGGTCGACGGCAGCCTCCGCGGCGGTCTCGCCGCCGAAGACTCCAAGATAGGACTCTCGCTCGGGCGCGGGTTCGAGGCTGCAGCTGCAGCCTTCTCCTCGGCAACTGAGCAGCGCGTGTCTTGCTGGGCGGCAATCGTGACCGGGTGGGAGAACTCCGTCAAATCCTAACTCGCAACCACCTCACCTCGCTACTTACCGACGAGATACCGTAATCGCCGATGTAGATGTCGAGCGAAGCCGAGCGAAGTCGAGCCGAAATCCCCCCCGCCGAAATCTTGCAAGGCCAACTGGAGAACGCTGGGGCGATGCGGCAGAATTCCCGTCTGATCGATGCGGGGCCGAAGGGCGCTCAAGACCTCCAGGCAGTCGTCGGACATGCCGCTGTAGCGTTGTGTAGAGAAGCCGTCGACGCCGATCGCGGCGCGGGGTGGGCGTGACGCGCCGAATCTGCAGATGTCGAAACGGGGGATGCGGGGAAACGGGCTCGAATAATTCAATTCAGGACGGCAGTCGGTCGGGTTCGCTTTCGGCGCGCCACAACTTCGAGAACTCGGCAGATTCAGGGCGCAAGAGCGAGACCGGGTTGGAAACGGGATGCCCGCGCCGCGAGAAGGTGCAGGTAGCTTTCCAGGGCTGACACTCTCGAATCAATTTGCGAGCCCCCCTCCTTCCTCTGCTGGCCCCCTCCAAGAGCCAGGCTCTCCAAGCCTCGATGCTGCCGTGCCGAGCCGAGTCGGCGATCTTGACGAAGCTAGACGCTGGCTCGTCGAGGACGCGCTGGCCCTCGCGTGGACCCAACTGCGCGCCGAAGGAAAACTCTTGAGGAACGCCGGCATCGAAACGCACGAGTCCTGGATTTCCCCGAGGTGGTCAGGAACCGTGGCAGGAAGGGCCAAGAGGCGAATCTCATGGGGTCCTGGTCTTTTTCCAATGGTAATGCCACTGAGGCAAGCTCGCAACTCTCGAACCAGCCACCTGTGGGCGTCGGGCGCGGGGTTGCGCTCCTTACCCCTGCGGGGGTATATGTTCCCGGCCTGAGAGCCGCGCTTCTGGCGCCGTGCCGAGAGGGATCCACGCGACGGGCAAGAGCAACTTCTTTCTCAACCAAGATCGCCCACCGGGAATGGAACATGTTAACATACCTCTGGATATATTTACGTTTCGGGTGTCCGTCTACCAGGCATTGACCATGCAGGGCACAATCGGGGCACCCCTCGGGGCCAGGGAACTCACTGCGGGGCCCGGCGGGGATTTCGGCGGGCCAGTTGGGGGGCGCAGCGAAACCGAGGGCCAAGAGTTCCCCGGGCCTAACTGGCGCGTGAGTCTCGATGCTCGAGTCTGCGCAAGCCGTCACATCCCGCTTTTTTGACTCGCGGACAGAAGGCGAAGGGCGCGGCCGCCGGCGCCCCAGCGCGGTGCCGACTTAATCGGGCACCTTGGGCAGCTGCGCGATGCGGCGCGCAGCCAAGGAAGCGAATTCGGCCTAGCTGCCCCCAGCGCAGCGAGGGTTCCCGAGGAGAAGCAGAGCCTGCCCGAGCGCTGGGAGGCGGTCGTGCCACCCCGGGCACGCGCCGCCCATCATGGCCGCCGCGGTCTCGGCGCAGCCGCCACAGCGCAGGCAGCAGACTCGGCCGGGCCCCTGCGCGGGGGAGTGGGGCCACCACGAGCGCCCCGCAAAGGTGGCAAGCATTGCCCCGGTGCTGACGGGCTCATCGCCGTCATGCCAGCGCGGCCGGGGGGCTGGCGGCGCCGCGCGGCCAGCTGGGGCGGGGCCAGCCGGGGCGGGCGCCGGGCGCGCCCGAGCCCCGCGGCGGACCGCGCGCCGGCTGCGGCGCTGGCGCCTTGGCACTGCGGCCAGGGCCGCCCTCTGGGCAGCTGCCTGCACCCGCTGCGCTGCTTCTAGCAGTTCGAGCTCCCTGCGGCGGGCGCGCGCCACCTGGCGCGGCGGGGCCCGCTGCGCAGCCGCGGCGCCAGCGTTGCCGTCGGCCGCGGCGTTGCCGAGGCGGCCCCGCTCAGCCACCCCGAGGCGCCGCGTCTCCGCCGGCGTCTTGTGGGCGGCTACCCAGCGGGCCCGGAGCCGCCCGCTCCGCGCGGCACATGCAAGCTGCTGCCACAGGTCGGCGTGCTCCCAGTCCCGCGGATCTGCGCTGGCCTCGAGCTGCGCGCACGCCCGCGCGACATACTGGCTGTCCGAGGCGAGGTCAATTGGGCCGCCGACCACACGAACCGCCGCCACCGCGGCCGTGACCTCGGCCCGCTGCGCGGCTTGCAGCCCGTCGACCAGGCCGGCGAGGTTCGGGGCTGCCAGCCGCCACATCCCGCACATACATGCACAAACCAGGAGAGACAATGAACTCACCAAACTGGATGCAGCGCCCCGAAAGTGACATGTAGTGTCCGAAATAGCTGCAATATCTGCCGGCACCCTCTCAAAGAACTCGCTGCCCTTGAGGATCTCTGGAGCGATGTTGGAATCGCCTCCTGCAAGATAGCTGCCTGAAAACGGGGAGATAGCACTGCCGATGCCAGCGAGGATGGACCTGTTGCGAGCAGAGAGACCCTCGCTGACACGCAAGTAGCAGCTGGAGATTAGGGTTGGACTCCCAGCAGGAATGTGAACGATGCCTGCTGCTCTGTCATCAATACTGTATGACCAGATTCTGGAGCGTGGAAACCAGAGAAACTCCGTTCTAAATTTGTTTTTCCTCCGCTGGCTCCCCCACCTTCCCTTCAGTAGCTGGACAGAACAACTATTCCACCCATGAGACTCACGCCATCTCGAGGCTTCGTCACACTGCACCTTAATAGATCGTCGGTGTTCCTGCAGTAACACTACATGCAAGCTCGTGGCTTCCAACACAGAGAGAGCCGAAGACCAAGCAGTCACGTTGACAGTCTCGAAAGAGAGGGGAGCACTAGCCTCTGGGGGGCTGGCTGGGAGGGGGGGCAAACGAGTTGACTGAGTTAGGAGGAGCTTTACATTGGCCAGGGGGCCACTTAAATCGATGCTTGACCTGGGGGGGATATTGAAACCCAGCCCCTGCCACCTTGCAACCTCCGGCGGGCGGCTGCGAGCGATCACTCGGTGACACGGGGCACCTTGTTTTGCTGATCTCCCACACGGTCCTGGAATCGCTCCTTAGCTGAGAGCTGCGTGCCTTTGCCTTTGCTGCTCGCGCAGCTTTTGGCAGGAGGCGCAGGGTCAGTGCCCGATGGGGGCGGCATCGGAGGAAGGTGCAAAACCTTTCTCAGAAAGCTCCTCGGGCTTCGTATCCTTTCGCATCCTGACCGCCCGTGCCGTGGGCGTTGGAGTCGTTGTCCTTGCGCTTCTTGGCCATGCGCGGGACATGCACAGCGTGGGACCTCTGCAACTCATCTGCCTGCTTGATGATGTCCCCGAAGAGGGTCGTGACCAGATCCGCGACCCCGTTGTTGAGGTCCTGGCAGCGCTGCTCGAGTTGGGCGAGGTCCTCGGCGGCAAGCCCGCAGTCGTCAGCAGCGCGAGCGTCGAACAGCGCGGTTGACCACACCACCTCGAGCAGCGGAGTCGAGCCTGTGACCGGGTCACGCAAGCTGATGGAGAGGACCTGCTGCTGCTGCTGCTGTTGCTGCTGCGGGTCGGAGAAGGGGCCAGTCTGCTTGTGAAGGTCGGCGACCTGCCTCTTGTGGTTGGCCTCCTCCGTCTCGAGCTGGGTGTGAATGTCTTGGAGATTGGCGCTGTTGCACTCGATCCACGCCTGACACTTCTCCAGCTGGTCCAGTTCATTGCAAAGATGGCGCTCCAGTTGAAGACACTTGTTGTGGGCGGCGGACAGCTGCTGCTCGAAAGGTGGCGTTCGCACTTGACTGCGGCAGACGAAGATTGAACTTTGCCCTGTACAGCTCGAAGGATGTCGGGATCGCCCACCAACTTAGCTCTCTCCTCAAGCTGAAGCGACGCGCTTGAAGACTGGGCGCCACGGACTGCTTGTGAACTGCCTTGGGCGGAAAAAGCATCTTTCGGTGCCGCACCACTGGACCGCGGTACACGGCAATGTTTTCAGAACCGCCATGCGCCGAGATTGCGGGCGCAACCGCACTTGTCGCGTGTCCGCTTGGCATGCCACACCCCTTCGTTGCGAGCCCACTGCCGGAGAGGCCCGCCAGCAGGATCCGACGCCATCCAGGGGCGGCGCCCTGCCATCGCAAGCCACTGGGCTCGCCGACGCGAGCCGTTCCGAAGAGTACTTGTCGGTAGCCGAGGCCAAAAGTGCCTGCGCCAGAACGGCTTCAGAGGAACAAGTTTTATAAACGGATAAGCGTGTGGAGGTCCGCGCGGGGCCTTCGGATCGGCGGTGGACCCCCTCCGTCGCCACTCATTGGGGTCGGAGTGCTTCGCCTCCCTCTCTGGACAGAATTGAAGGGGCCATGGGACACACAAATAAATACACACAAATAAAAATATCCCCCATATTGTCCCAGATGTTCTGGGTTTTTGTCTTCCCCCCACTTCCCATATTTTCCTGGGACTGGACGATTAATTGTGTCTGTGTTTTTTCTCCTCCTGATAAATTCTTATGCCGCCGTTTCGCTCTCCGACCGCCGAGGCGCAGCCGCAGCCGACCGAGCCGCCGAGACGCCCTGCCACAGGCCCGCTGCACCGAGCCTGGCGCGCGCCAGGGCGGTCGCAGGGGGCGGCGGGAAGGCTGCGGCAGCTACGGGGGCAGTGCGGGCTACCTACCAGACCACCCCAACCCGAAGACCCGAATTTGACTCGAATTTCGGGGGGGGGGGGGGGGGGTACGGGTTCCATGTGTTTTTCCAACGTTCACCGACCCCCCCCCCACTGGAAATCGAGGATACATTTGGACCTTCGGGTTGGGTTGGGGTGGTTTGGTGGGTGGTGAAGTGCAGGCCAGGAGTCGGCGGCGAGCGAAAGTCAGATGGGGAAGGCCTTCTCAGAAGGTGGCGGGGCTTCTCAGAAGCCCTCGCGCTGGCCGAGAAGCTTCCTCTGTCTGCGGGGGCGGCTCAGAAGACTTTCCAGGAGGCTGGGGGGACTCCCGAGCATTCTGAGAAGGCCCGCCCCTTCTCACTTCTCCCCCCCGGGCTCGCGTCCGAGAGAGGACATCGGCAGCGGCGGGAGCGGAGGCGGCGGTGGTGATTCATCCATCCATCGATGGATCGAACGATCGTTCGATCGATATGCTCGCTCGAGCTGGTCGATGGGTCGAACGATGGATCGATCGATCGAACGCTGCATCGATGGATCGAGCAGATGGAGCCGATTGGTGGATCGACCACTCGAGCCGGTCGATGGATCGATCACTCGGCAGTGATCGATCGGCCGACCGAGCCGATCGATGGATCGACCAGTATCGATCGAACGAACGATCAAGCAAATCCCTGCATCTGTCGACCACTAACGCTTTCGACCGATCGCTCGATGAGAGCCGTCCACCTCCTCCTCATCCTTCCTTCTCCTCCCCCTCCTCCACCTCCTCCTCCTGCTCGTTTCTGCTCCTCCTCCTCCTTCTCCTCGCTCCTCCTCCTCCTCCTCCCCCTCCTCCTCCTCCTCCTCCTCCTCCTCCTCCTCCTCCTCTTCCTCCTCCGAGTTTGGCGGCGAGCACAAAGGGGTATAGGGGAGAGGGGAAGGCTGCTTAGGAAGAGGCTGCTTCTCAGAAGGCGACAGCCTTGCATCTCTACAGACAGGGCCCGCGACTTCTGAGAAGCCTTCCCACTCCCCCTGCCCACCTCGCTGCGCGCAGCCGACGAATGCAGAGTGCAGCGCAGGCCCTCACACCGGGCGCGGCGTCCTTATCTCGGTCGCACAGTGGCGACAGCGGAGGGAGACAGTGATAGAGCCATCGATCGAGCTTACCTAGGAACCACGCGTATATGATAAGATGGTCGGCTGCACGCCAGAGCGACCCTGGGCAAGAGTGATCCTTGGTACGCGGAGGAGGTGGCGCAAGGTGGCCAATTCCAAACGCGCAAGCAGCCGCTATTGCATCGCGCCAACGATCTGGCGGACCCCGATGAGCCCGCACCAAAGGTCACTCCGGCGAAGGGGTCACTCTTGCGTGTAGTCGATGGGTACCTGGGCCCTGCCACATGGAGCCAAGGGGCAACGTATATAGTATCGTGTTCTCGCCGGTTCTCCAGGCGAGAAGCGGTGGAACAAGTCTGTGTGTATATATATATATACACACATATATACACATATATATACATATATATATATATGTATACATGTTCTGTGTGTGTGGGCCGCCAGTTGCCACTGAGTGGTGGTCGAACAAAACTCAAAGCATGCACCTGCATCGACCGATCGATCCCTGCATCGATGGATCGCTGCCGCCTCCCGACCCATCGATCGATCCGAGCCGAAGGCCCCCCCCCGTTCGCGGCGTCCTTCTCTCGGTCGCCCCAGCCGCCTCGCCCCGCGCCCGCCTCGCGCCACTCCCATGCGCAGCTCGACCTGGCGTGGCCGGCGCGATGCGCAGAACCTCCTCGGAAAGGCCCCATACCCGTGGAAGGCTTTCTTGAGAGGCCTCTCTGGAGAGGCCTCTCTTCGGATGCTCTTCCCTGGGATGCTGGCGCTGCATTTTTTTCACAACGGCCGTGTTCGCCCGCTTTCGCGCCCGGGGCCCATGGGTCCTCAGGCACACAGATCGGATCTGTGAGGAGGAGGAGGAGGAGGAGGAGGAGGAGGGGGAGGAGGAGGAGGAGGAGGGGGAGGAGAAGGAGGAGGAGGAGGAAGGAAGGCGAGGAGGAGGAGGAGGAGGAGGAGGAGGAGGAGGAGGAGGAGGAGGAGGAGGAGGAGAGGAGGACGGGAGGAGGAGGAGGAGGAGGAGTAGGAGGAGGAGAAGGGGGGAGAAGGAAAAGGAGGAGGAGGAGGCGGCGGAGGAAGGGGAGGAGGAAGAGGAGAAGGGGGAAAAAGGAAAAAAAGGGAGGAGGCGGAGGAGGAAGGGGAGGAGGAGGAAGAGGCTAGGGTAGGGGCTATGATCAGCAGAGGCCTGCTTCGGGGGCCCGCGCGGAGCGCCCTCCAAGAGGCCCTCGCCGAGGTTCCTCGGAGGCCCTCGCCTCTGGAGGTCCTCTGAAGCCCCCGCCCTGCCTCGTCCAAGCGGTCCGCCCAACGGCATAAAACCGTGTTTGGAATTGTTGGGCCTGGGTCAAAAATTGGTGGTCATCATCAACACCATCATCATCACGTCCCTCATCATCATCAGCAGCAGCAACATCATCATCATCCGCATCATCATCCGCATCAGCAACACCGGCACCATCCACATCATCACCGTCATCATCAGAATCATCATCATCAGCGTCATCATCATCAACGTCATCATCACCATCACCAACATCATCATCATCGTTTTCGGTATCGTCATCATCATCCTTTTCCGCGTTAGCGACATCATCGCCAACATCCTCAAAACCCCCCTCATATTCATCATCATGGTCACCATCATCCGTGCAATTCGACATCATCACCAAATACAACACAACCGGTACCATCATGCCCGTCATCATCATCAGCGTCATCAACATCACCAACATCGGCATCATCAACAACATCGTTCTCATCACCACCTTCAAACATCATTACCGCAATCAGCGCCACCATCATCACCGCCATGGTGGCAATAATCATCCTCATCATCAGCACCACCATCGCTTTGATGATCAAGATCATCACCATCATCAAAACAATGACCATTATGAGCGAAATCATCCGTATCATCATCATCCTCGTCGTCACCGTCACCATCCTCATCACCATCTACATCCGCATCACCGTCTTCATTATCACCCCCATCGTCATCACCATCGTCAGGAACATCACCATCATCATCATGAGCATGATCATCATCATCGTCATCAACATCGTCAACATCATGGCCATCGTCATCGTCATTGTCATCCAGATCCTCGTCGTCCTCCTCGACCTCCTCGCCCCCCTCATCCTCCTTCGCACAGTCGTCACCAGCACCATCTTTATCACAAACAGCAACAACAGCATATAAGTCACCATCCTCTTCCTCCTCCCCATCAGCATAAACATCGTCTTCATAATCATCATCACAATCACCCGCATCATCATCATTTGAACGACATGATAGCCAATAAAGAAGGACACGATTGCGCATGCCAAACTTGCAAAAGGCAAGGCTCGTCGCAGAGAGCTGTGACTCGCGAGCGCCGCTCGGTGCGTGGCGCCTGCGAGGGTGATTGCGCAGCGACGCCTGGCGGCATGCGGGGGTACCTTAATCGTGAAATCCAACCGCCACGAGATCTTCGGCCGCATTCGGCATAGAACGGCGCAGGGTCGGCAAGCTGCCCCAGCAGCTACTCGCCCCCCTTCCGAGCTGGGCGCGGCAATGCGGGCAGGGGCGGCGCGCGTGGCTGGCCGAAATCCACCGCTAACAAATGTGATCGGCGTCTCGTTCGCACACTGGTCGTCTCGAGCCAAGTGCCCACTTCGTCCTCGAGCCAGCCCGCTGACGCCACCCCTTTGCGGTGAATCGCCGCGTCCGCGGCCCGCAAGGCCGTCTGCGTGACGGGCCGCCCCTCCCAGCTGGGGGCGCCGACTATGACCTTGCTCTCCTGTGAACCGCAGCAGCTCTCTAAGCGCATGAAACTCACGGCGCTCTCCAGGTCGGCTTTGTCGATGTCGGGCTCCGCCCCCGCCTCTGCTGGGCAGCGCTTCAACCGGTGCGTCTTGATGTCGTTCTTCGCCGCGCCGCCAATGTCGCGCATCGCCAGGCCCTCTAAGGCCGCCAGGGCTAAGCTGGCTGCGGGGGGGCGGATATCCTTCATCCTCTTATTGCCATCGGCCCCCTGCGTTCGAAGGGAATCGGGCAATCCCCTGTGCCCCTCGAGCTCCTCGGTGATCTTGATCGCCATGTTGCGACTCGTCGGCATCGTGCGTGTCTATCGAGACGGAGGAGGCGAGCCTGTTCTTGCGCGCCGTCTGCAGCGCGAGTTTGAGCGTCGCCTGGAGCAGCGCCAATGGGTTTTTTGCCCTTGCTGCTCCACGTCCTAACATGATGCCCGCCTCGGCGGGCTCTCCGCCCGCCGCGGCGCTTCGGCTTCCTGCGTCGGTCGCCGCCCTCCTCGCCCTCGCCCTCCATGGCCGCGTCGCCCCTCTCGGCCGTTGCCGCTGCCCCTCGAGGCGGTGGCGGGCCCGTGGGCCTGGGCACGGCCGCTGGCGGCGCTCCCTCGGCCCCCCCCGAGCTCGGCCCAAATCCTCGCGAGGCCTGGGGGGAGGAGCTCAGGAGGTGGCGCCGCGCT